TTTTAGAGGGGTGTAAGCTCTAAAGGCAAGGAGAATCTTGTGAAAATGGATGGCAAGATGAATGCAGCATGTTATCAGACAATTCTTTTGGCATTCTTCTGCATGAAAGCTGCACATGAGACGCGCTTGGACTTTCTAGCATGACAATGACCCTAAGCACAAGGCCAAATTGACCCTCCAGTGGTTACAGCAGAAAAAGGGTAAGGTTCTGGAGTGGCAATCACAATCTTCTGATTAATATTAATATTACTGAGCCACTCTGGGGAGATGTCAAACGTGTGGTTCAAGCAAGACGACCAAAGACTTTGCATGACCTGGAGGCATTTTGCCAAGTCAAATGGCCAGCTATACAACCTGCAAGAATTCAGGGCCTCATGGACAACCATTACAAAAGACTGCATGTTGTCATTGATGCTAAAGGGGGCAATACACAGTATTAAGAACTATGGGTATGCCGATTTTTGAACAAGGGTCATTTCATTTGTTTACTTGTTGCCATGTTTTGTTTTATGATTGTGCCATCCTGTTATGACCTACAGGTAAATATGAATGCCATAAGAAATTGTGTTTTGCCTGCTAAATCATGTTTTCTTTAAAAATGGTATATACTGTATGTCACAAAGTCTCCAAGGGTATGCAAACGTTTGAGCACAACTGTAGGAATCCCAAAGTATATTGTTTTTAAATTTGATGTAATGATTTTATTTTTAAGTGCTGATCTACAAATTATCTTATTTAATGAAAAAGAGATGGTATCAGCTACAGCCAATAGCTGCTTTTCAAACCCTAACTCATTAAAATGTTTAGCATTCCTAAGATGTGGTGGTGGTGTGTATTCTTCTAATCTAATGTTTGATGTATTTATAATACATTTTTATTTACCTTAATTACTGAACTCATCATACATGCATGGAACTAAAAAAAGACGGTCTACTTCTCGCTATTTAACCACTTGGCAACCACGCTATAGCCGTCATATGACATCCTTCCAGAACACGCCCTCCCGTGCGCCCCCAGTGGTGTGCATCCGCCAATCTCATGATCTCCATATCCTACGGACACAGCTGATCATGTGATGTGGTAAAAGGCCAATCACGGCGGCCTTTTACCACGTGATCAGCTGTGTCCAATGACACAGCAGATCACCGGGTAAACGCAGTTGCCAGTTATTGGCTGCACTTTCCTCACGCTGTCACAGCGTGACGAAAGTGCTGCCGATAACCGACAATTGTCAAAGAACAGATCAGCACTGATGATCAGTGCCCAGCAGTGCCACCCCACCAGTGCCCAGCAGTGCCACCCACAAGTGCCAAGCAGTGCCACCCACCTGTGCCCATCAGTGCCTAGCAGTGCCACCCACCTGTGCCCAGCAGTGCCACTCACCAGTGCCCCCCATTAGTGCCACCATCAGTGCTGCCCAGCAGTGCCAACAGTCAGTGCCACCCATCAGTGCTGTCCTTCAGTGTGCCACCCATCAGTGCCCATCATTGCTGTATATCAGTGCCGCCTCATCAGTGTCAGCTCATCAGTGCCGCCTATCAGTGCTGGCCATCCGTGCCACCTCATCAGTACTGCCTATCAGTGCCCATAAGTGCTGCCTATCAGTGCAGCCTCATCAACTCACATCAAGGAGAAAAATTACCTGTCTGCAAAATTTTAAATTAGAGACAAAGAAAAACTTTTTTTTTTTCAAATTGTTTGCTCTTTTTTTTGTTTTGCAACTGTCATTCAAAGTGCGACAGCGCTGAAAGCTGAAAATTGGCCTGGGCAGGAAGGGGGTATAAGTGTCCGGTAGGCAAGTGGTTAATGATATTACAGTGCATTGATTACAGTTAATCAATGCACTGGACCACCTATCTATAAGTTAGAAGGAGAAACTGACTAGAGTGTACTGGCACACAGGATATCAACAACACCACCACCACCCAGTACTTCATTGGTAGCACAGATAAAAATTTTAGTAAGAAGCCAATCAACCTAAAGAAAACTTTTGGTTTGTCATTTCAAATATTTTAAGGTAAATGTCATGTCAAAGAAAAGAAACTACAAGCTACCTGCTTTTAACTTGGTTAGCCAAAATCTTCTGTGTGCCTCTCTGTAAATTTGTTTTACATTATTAGGGTTCTGACATCTCTACATTTAAGGCTTATTAGTCAATTAGCAGATATTTGTGTGACTTGCGAGCCAATATATCCACCCAATATTAACCCAATATTAACCCCTCAAAACCAAAAAAATGGACACACACTGTCCCAAATGTTAATAGGATCGCAAACACTCAACACACTACTACCTCTGTGTCCATAAAGTTATTAATTCATAATGTGTTGCGCTCCCAGTGAGAGTATCAAAGATATTAATTCTATTTACCCTTTTGTAAACAAATATATACTCAGGTAATGTGCAAAAAATGCAAAATAAAAATATATATAGTGATAAAAAATTATTATATATATTATCCACTAATGAAAAATGGAAAATGTGAAAATCATACCCTCGAAAACAATATGTGATAAAAATGTACTAAAACAGGAATATAAATAAATCAATATGCATCATGATTATTCAAAAAAATTAAATAATTAAATATATATATATATACTGCTAATTAATTTGTGATAATAATGTCCTTTAATTTCTGTGACTTTGTGCTTGATTAAATCTTGATTTGGTGACTTATTGTGAATCCGTGACTTTCTTTAAATCCTTAATCAGTGAAGATGTATGCTCACCTCCTTATTAGCCTGCAATTAGGCTATTCACACTTGTGGTTCACCTCCTATGGAACCTGTTTAGATGGAATTCCTCCTTTACAGATTGTAAAAACGTGGATATCCGTTATCCTTAATTAGCCCTTGTGCGTTTTTCCATATGTGGGAACAAATTGCCAAACATAGTGTTTTATCCTTATAAAAAGGTTTCCGCTTTATTGCTTTCCAATAGGTACACTCACATAGATAGTGTGCGGTATAGGATGAATTGCTCAGCTCAAGTAATCCGCCAACCGTCCAGCCATGCACCCGCCGTCTGTCAAACACTCCGGCTCTCTCCGAGTGACAACGCAGCCCCACCCCTACGCGTTACGCCACTGGTCACGTGGCTTCATCAGGGGAATGTGAATCACAACCCCCTGATGAAGCCACGTGACCAGTGGCGTAACGCGTAGGGGGTGGGGCTGCGTTGTCACTCGGAGAGAGCCGGAGTGTTCGACAGACGGCGGGTGCATGGCTGGACGGTTGGCGGATTACTTGAGCTGAGCAATTCATCCTATACCGCACACTATCTATGTGAGTGTACCTATTGGAAAGCAATAAAGCGGAAACCTTTTTATAAGGATAAAACACTATGTTTGGCAATTTGTTCCCACATATGGAAAAAGGCACAAGGGCTAATTAAGGATAACGGATATCCACGTTTTTACAATCTGTAAAGGAGGAATTCCATCTAAACAGGTTCCATAGGAGGTGAACCACAAGTGTGAATAGCCTAATTGCAGGCTAATAAGGAGGTGAGCATACATCTTCACTGATTAAGGATTTAAAGAAAGTCACGGATTCACAATAAGTCACCAAATCAAGATTTAATCAAGCACAAAGTCACAGAAATTAAAGGACATTATTATCACAAATTAATTAGCAGTATATATATATATATATTAATTATTTAATTTTTTTGAATAATCATGATGCATATTGATTTATTTATATTCCTGTTTTAGTACATTTTTATCACATATTGTTTTCGAGGGTATGATTTTCACATTTTCCATTTTTCATTAGTGGATAATATATATAATATTTTTTTTATCACTATATATATTTTTATTTTGCATTTTTTGCACATTACCTGAGTATATATTTGTTTACAAAAGGGTAAATAGAATTAATATCTTTGATACTCTCACTGGGAGCGCAACACATTATGAATTAAGGCTTATTAGTATTTGACAATAAGTAATATGTAACTCCATTACCATTATGCCACCTTCAGAGCTACTGCTATCAGTCACTTTGTAGTGACAACTCTGTTAATGCAACAACTGGCAGAATACTATATATGGCCCCTTTTAAAATGGCATTTCTCAGGTAACATAAATCTCCTCTGACCAATGGTGCTTAAATCATTTTTGGTACCCCTCTATGCTCTGTTATTATGATAAGCCTCTTCCTTGGCTGTGGAAGCACAGTGTCCTTTTCTTTTAACACAGCTATCTCCTTGCAACTTGGCATGCCCTTAGTAACAAACCTTATTAGGTAATGGCAATTTGGCATTTTTCTGACAGTATTGCACAAGCCCTTGTGCTGGATTTGAGGACGGCTCTCTGTAACGATCAACATGTAATTGCACATTGTGAGGAGCAGTCTAGGTTTACAGCTGAAGCATCTAATTCTTACTCTACCGCTATTTAGCCACATTTGTTATCTGATTATTCACACAGTTTTGTTGCAAAAGTATATCTGCGTGTTCTCCTTTTTCCACTTGAATATGGCAAGAATAATTATGTTTAAAAAATATGTTAAGGGGATTCCATGCTGAATTATACACAGAGCACCATGTTTTCTAAGGACAGTTTTCTATGAAACCCCACAAGGCCACTCTGACCCATAAGCGCACTCTGTAGGCTGAATGTAAGTATAAGTATTTCAAATGTTTCACTCCAGTATCCATCATTTGGTGCCATTCAGCCAACCGTGTAAACTGTGAAGAAAGGGGCAGGTCTGCTCCATTATATGTTAAAGCTTAGATAAATGCATGCTTATGAATTAGGCTTTTGACAATAAAGAAGATAGCCTAGCAGGATTTGCGTATGACATATGAATTGTGTTGTGGTGCTGTAAAAATAGAATGACCTTGATGATCTTACATTATAAGGAGTGGATAGGATGAATTCATAGAAAGCATCTTTGCACCAATTACCAATTTACATTAACAAATTACATCATGAAATAACAGTTCTTCTGTTCCTCTGTTTTATTTAGTGTTGAGATGGTGGACTAAAAATGGGAGACTGGAATTTCCTTGGGGTAATCCTGGAGGAAGTCCACATTCACTCTACCATAGTTGGAAAAATCTGGCTTACTATCCTGTTTATATTTCGAATGCTGGTCTTGGGAGTAGCAGCTGAAGAAGTTTGGAATGACGAGCAGTCACAATTTGTATGCAACACAGAGCAACCTGGATGCAAAAATGTCTGTTATGATCAAGCATTTCCTATATCTTTGATCAGATATTGGGTTCTGCAGGTCATTTTTGTGTCTTCACCTTCATTAGTCTACATGGGACATGCAATTTACAGACTTAGAGCTCTTGAAAAGGAAAGGCACAAGAAGAAAGCACAACTGAAAGGGGAACTTGAAGGAGTTGAGTATGAGTTGACTGAGGATCGTAAGAGACTGGAGCGTGAACTCCGGCAGTTGGAGCAAAGAAAACTTAACAAGGCTCCTCTTCGTGGGTCTCTACTCTGTACCTATGTTATACATATATTCACTCGATCTGCTGTTGAGGTTGCTTTTATGGTTGGTCAGCATTTACTTTATGGTGTTCAGTTAGATCCACTTTACAAATGCCAGAGGGACCCTTGCCCTAATGTGGTTGATTGCTTTGTATCAAGACCCACAGAAAAGACAGTATTTATGTTATTTATGCAAAGCATTGCAGGTGTTTCTCTTTTTCTTAATATTCTGGAAATAGGACATCTGGGAGTGAAAAAGATAAGGAAAGGATGTTTAGTAAGATATAAACTTAAAGATGAATTTGATGATTTTTATGTAATGAAATCTAAGAAGCACTCCACAGTAACTCATACAGGCATTGGGACATCTTCTAGTCCACACAAGACCCTTCCTTCAGCTCCTAGTAACTACACTTTGTTAATGGATAAACCAAATGATCCATCTGTATATCCAATATTGAATCCTCCTTGTGGATTTCATCCTATAGTAGATATGCGTACAGAAAACAATAATACCTGTATTCTTGATGAGCAAGAAACCAAATCAGCTAATGAAGTCAACCCTGCAAACATGGCAGACAACCACTTCCACAATAGCAGCTCCAACAATAATGAAAAGTTCACCAAAACTTATATTTCTGATAACAAAATTCCAAAAAGTCATCCACAAAGGAAAAGTGGATATATAATAAGCAGTCGATCCAGTGGTGAAAGTGCACCAGGTATTCCAATGGGAACAATGACTGAAATACCTTCTGAGGACACTGTGGATTGCTCTGTAAAAAATATGATTTGTTCCACAACCAGTAATGCAGTTCGTAAGACCAGGAGAGTTAGTGCCCCTTGGCACAATTCTAGGATGGGTGACAGAAGTGGTTTTGTTCAAGATTCTGTATGCAGCAGCAGAGGACGCTACAGCTTCAGTGCAAATAGATCATGGGCACTCTCCAAGTCTGACCTGAAGCGCATCAGTCGGCCAGCTACACCAGAAGCCCTAGGGGAGCAGAGTCCAGAATACAAGCAGAATGAGGAGTGTGATGGCTCTGTGACCTTCTCTCCATCTCGACGGATGTCACTGGCAAGTAACGCCAGTAGCCGGCGTGTCCCCACCGATCTACAGATATAACAGTTAGTTGCTTTACCTACACATTACACTAACATCTAGATTATTTATGTTAGGCAGAGTTATTGACAAGAAACAGATTGATTTTGTTAGTATAAGAGTAACCTTTGTATTCTTTTATAAACTACTCCAAAAAATGTTACATTTTAAGATTTTCTTTTTTTCAATAATGCCTGATAATAGCCATAAAAAATAATACTCGAATAGACAATTTATGCATTCCTCTATATTTTGCATATGGGGAATACTTGAATGAGGGGCGAACAAGTTTGATTAACATATTTGAAACCTAACATAATGAAACTTTCATATATTTTAACAATATCATATCATGTAGAGACTATAGGGATTACATAGTTTAAATCATTCCTGGACTCAAAACTGGACAGTATTGAACTACCAACCTAAATAGATAACTCAGCAAAAAATCAGACTGGACGTCTAACTGAAGCCCATGAGTGCTGCAGCTTGTTAATCCATACCTTGCTTTGGAAGCACCTGGTAAGTTTTCACTAGGAGCTGACAGTCAGCAAGCATGCCACCCACTCCCACTTTTTCACTTTCCTCCTGTCACATCTCACTTTTTAGTACCCTATTCACTCTTGTACTCACAGACATAATATATTACTGTACCAGTAAAACTAATCCCACCCCCAATCTACAAAACATTTAAGTACATTTATGAGAACCTAGTCTCTGATAATTAGTAGTGCATCAGTGGGTTCTCATTACTCTTGATGATCTGGCCTACTGATGCAATCCTGTGGCCCTAATGAACTTTCCATGTACTGTTTGGTTCCTATTTAATAGTAGAGGTGGAATAGCTAATATGTATTCACTAGCAGGGTGAGATTTCTGCATGGGCCAGGCAGGCCATAACAAGGATGCCAGGGCTCACAGCAGCCACTTCCAGCCACTCACGCACTGTGCATCTGACAACTGGTAACACATTGTTGTATATGATAAATGGTATTGGACTGCAACCTTGCCTCCCATTACCAACTGGCTAGTTATCCTTGTTGGTGTCTCTTCCTTGCTTGTGTATTTTCTGAGTGAGGGTCTCTCCACCCTCAGTAACATAGGAATAGAGTGGTACAGTTGGCCTGGGAAATTGAAAGTCTTACTTTACCCCTTCCAATCATGGATGGTACCACTACTTTTGGTAAACCCCGATTATGGCATTAAGACAAGCATGCTTAGATCTGCTGGTTGATTTTAAAATACCTTTCCTCTTAATAAAATTGAGAGTGGAATGTTGAGAACCTTGAAGTAGGAAGGCTTCTTTCTTTCAAGAAGATTTCCCTTCCAAGAGTTAAATGCATTCTATTGTTGTTGTGAACGTTGGGACGTGCAAAACAGTATAAATACAATCATGTACATGGCTTCCTTTTATTTTCTAGTTTATATGAAGTACATGATGAAGTACCTCATGTACTTTCAACCTAATACAATGAAAAGCATCCTTGGAAGGGCTCTATTAAACATACTAATTGACTTCATGTGCAGTTTTGCACACTATCATGAAAAACACACTTATTCATTATTCACATCAGTATATCAGTACAACACATTATAAAACTGTTTTTACATATTAACATCTTTAAAACAAAGTGCAAGATACGTATCTCTGCTTGATATTTAAAATTTGTAAGAACAGTAAGGACATCTGTGCTGTTTATTGGTTGTGTTCAATGTAGACTATTTAAACATCTTAATTATATGATATGATGATGGTATAGGAACTGCCACCCTGCAAAAAAAATGTCTGATATACAGTATCAAAACAGTGTCAACAATTAAAGCCCTGTACAAATGAGAATATTGGATAAATGATCATCCATTTTTTGTTTTTGCATGCTAGTCTCATATCGATAATCAAATAATCAAAAGGTTACTAACGTTACGAAAACTCTTGTAGGGCAGAATAAAAATTTGGAAGTGATGTCATGAATTGTAATGTATTTGTGTATTTTTGGAGGAAAACTGTACTAATTAAATGAAAACTGTACAATCTGGTATCATACAAAGAAAAATGTTCATGCTTGTCCCTTAAATAATTTTGGGCGAAAGCGATCATATTATTGTACGATCGCTTCGAAAGCGGTATTTTTGGGCGATTTTCTGATCGTGCGTACTAGGTTAAAGGATGTAAAAATGTGAAGCCCTTCGTAGCAACCAATTAATTTGGGCTTGCATTGCTAAAAACAGACAGAATATTCACTGGGCAAGGAAAGTTACACTTTGATTTTCATCATCCAGTCATGTGCTAGAAAAACATTTTTTTTCATTGCACTTAATTGGGCATTCTTTGCAAAGTGAAAAATTCACCACATTCATTAAGCTCTTTAGTAAACCAACCCCTTTTGCACGTTCCTTAACATATAGTGACTGAAAGGGTTAATAGTTAGCTAACTTGCTTTGTGCCTACTAACTGGTTTATTTTTCATACAAGATATTCCCTTGGAATTGAAATGCTGTTATCTATGCACACATTTCTCTTCTGAGAGATTGCAGAATTGTGTGATTTGTTTGAGGAACAATAATACAGGACAACAGTATTGTCAACATGACCATCTTCCTCCACCACAGGGTCCTTTTGAGGAATTACAGATTGATTTTACACACGTGCCTAACAGTGACATTTTCTATAACAAGCTCCTTACTCTTTATTTGAAGGGAACTTGTACAATTCTTGCCTAGAAGAAGGAACCACGTAGTACTTTTTTTAGCCAGAAACTCCCCAATGTGAACCTCTCAGACTTATGCAGGCCATAGACGGGGCGAAAACCGGCCTTTTTTTTTTAAAAACGAAAAATCGGTTGTTAAATTGGCCGACGTTACCACCATTGGTAAAAAAATCGGCTGATTTTCGTCCTGTCTACGGCCAGCAAATATAATAGCGGTGTCCCTGCAGAGAGCTCCGCTATTATATTTGACATTTAAAAGTATAGCAAAGTTGCAACATTGTATCTATTTGTATCCATTTCGGATACAGATGTTTCTATTCGGATACAAATAGATACAATGTTGTAACCGCAATACTTTTAAATGTCAAATATAATAGCGGAGCTCTCTGCAGGGACACTCCGCTATTATTTTTGACATTTAAAAGTATTGCGGTTGCAACATTGTATCTATTTGTATCCGAATAGAAACATCTGTATCCAAAATGGATACAAATAGATACAGATGGTCTTCTTCTTTTTCTTTGTCTTCATCTTCTTCTTTTCCTTCTTCTTGCGCATTTTTTTTAATCGGTAAAAAGATCAGCTGATTTGCCCATCATTGCCGTGAAAATCGGCTGATCGACAAAATCGGCCGTTTTTTTTTCCAACATAACCGATTAAAAAAAATGTGTAAAAATCACGAAAAACGGCCAACAAATTCACCCACTAACGATCCGAAAATCGGACGAATATTCTTTTGGATGAATTTTCGGCCGATTTTTGACCCATTTATGGCCAGCATTTTCGCCTTGGACAGAATGGGTGAGTGGGGTCAGACCAGAAGTCAGGGAATAAGTTATTATGATACTTACAAAGTAAATCTAAAGGCACACATCTAGCCTACATAGTAACAGCAGGAACATCACGGTGTCTGCTCTTAGGTAGATTTTAGCTTTAGAAGTTTACATTTATTTCAGGTTCACTTTAAAGTTTAATATAAGAATGTTTTTGTTTTCTATTGATGTTTTTTTCAAGCATAACGAAAACCACATTATTAGCCTATTTATTAATAATCACTTTAAAGTGAACCCCAACTCCATTTTACAATGTATATATTTAACAATATATGTAACAATATAACAAATATGAAAAGATAGTAAGATTTTTATGGGATTATGTGCTGGGCCTGTGTCAGATAGATGAGAGCAAGTGCTAGTTTAGGGGTGAAGACAAAGGCCATAAAGTATCAAAGACATTTCTAGGAAGATTGATTTGGAATGCCCAGGATATGTTAGGGTGTGAGAAGGGATGTGGAAGAAGAGTAGAGTGGGTAAATAGAAAGAGGAGGAGAGGAGATGGAGAGAGCAGGAAGAAAAGAAAAAGTAATTGGATTGGTCTTGGTCTATTTATTATGTTGTCTGATCAGGTCACATATGATGTGGGAATTTTTGTAAGCGGTCCCTGGTGTCCACATTCTAGTGAAGCGTTTGAATGCGTCATTGTCAAACACCATTATTTGTTCCACTTTCATCAAGTAATTTACCACCTCTACCCTCTATGTTGAGGGGTCCAGAGGATCTACGATGATTTGGGGTCAGCTGTCTTGTGGAAGACCTAAGAAAAAGTTTTTAGGAGACAATATTAAGCCCTGTGTTATTAAAAGAAGGGCAATTTTAGGGGAGTTGGTAATGTTGGTAACTATTTTTCTGTTTTATGTATTGAGGATTAGTTCCCAGAAATCTCCTCTTGGAATTCATACCCACCCAAATATATGTATAGGTTCTAACTGCAGTCTCACAATGCAAGTACAATTTATTTAAAAAGAAGTGGATGGGGCATTGATACCATTGACCATTGGTATATGATTTCTAAATTAGTATCTTGCATTTTGCTGGAGATGGACAATTTGGAGAAAATATTTGTCCTAAGTCCCTGGGAGTTCTGGTATCCATTGTGTGGCATATTTTGTAGGTATTTTAGTAGTCTTTTGGAAAAGCATGTGGTATACCCTGGATATTGTGTGTCATGCATTTTTGTTTGAGTACAGATCTCCTCAAACTCAGAGAGGGGGTGTTTTGTGATAGGAGCTCAGGAGCTTTGAGGCTCAGATTGTGACAAGGAGTTCTCCATCATTTTAAAAGAGAAAGTACTGTCTACAAGCAGATACTATAAGATTCTTGGTAATACTTTTATTAGCCAGAAAAGCTTTTTTCTGTGCCTCTCTCTCATTTATTCCACTTTGTGATTGAGGCCTGACTACTTTGCTAAGGCTAAGTTCACAGTATTGTGAGCTGATTCTGATCCAATTTTCAATGCAATTATGTAGAGCAACTTGGC